GGTGGAGCCCCTCCCAAGCCCTCCCAAACATACTCACCATGGGGCTGGAGAGGGGTCTGAAGGGTCCTCAGCCCCGCTGTCTCTCTGGGGGCCGACGGCGTCTCCAGGGACCCAAACACCTGGCTCCCGGGGGGAGCTGCGCCCTGTGCTGGCAGCCGGAGAGGCACAGCCAGTGATTGGCATGTCCCACCCCCTGGCACGCCAGCCTGTGGGGGGGGGAGGGAGGAAGAGAAAGAGGGAGGGAGGAAAGAGAGGAAAGGAAGGGAGGGGGAGCTAGAGGGAAGCCTCGGGCAGCTATAGTGGGCCCTGGAGCATGGCCTTCTTCTCCACTAGGGCACCCAATTCCAGCCCCTACAGGTAGGGTGCAGGACAGGAGGGAGATGAGCCCAGAAAGGCTAAAAGTCCAGAACGGGAGAGAAGGCGGATACAGGGAGACAAACACCCACACCCAAAGCACACAGACTCGGCTGCACACACACACACACACACACACACACACACACAAGCTCACACACGCACTCTCACAAAGACACACTGTTTCCCCGGCTCCTTCCCCCACCCAACCTTAGAGCCCCCAGCCCGCGTGTACCAAGCCCCGGCACACACAGCCCGGTCGGTGCTCACATGCCTGTTACCCCAGAACACACGCCCTGCCCCCTTGCACATGCCCACGCGCCCACCCACCCAGCCCCACACCCTGCTCTTTCTCCCTGCTGGGAAAGAGCTGGATTCCTTCTGTTTGGAAATGACACATTGGGCTTCACGTGAGAGGCTCCAACTTGGAACAGACCCAGAGGGCTGTTGTGCGCGCGCCCCAGGCTGAGGGCTGAGCGGACGCCGAGCCCGCGTGCCGGTTTTCTGTCCCCGCTTCACAGCCGGGTGTGAGGGCACATGGGTGTCTGGTTCGCGGGGATGAGTGTGTGTGTGTGGGGGGAACGTATGCCTGCTCCATGTGTTGCTGAGTGCCTGCACATGTGTGTCCCTGAGTGCGCATGTCACCGTGCAGCCGGTGGAGACGCAGGTGTCGCCCCGTGGATCTGAAGCCAGGACGTGTGTCTGTGTTCGGTGTGTGTCTGAGTGTTGCCCGACTGTGGAACTTGCTAATTCTGACAAGTGAGGCAGCCTCTACCTCTCTGCCTGTGCCACCCCCAGCTTCCACCTGGAAGACAGACAGACAGGCAGACAGACAGCTCTCCTCCCAGCCTGTCAAACTGCCTCCCCTGACTCCCACTTGGGGCTCACAGGTGTGCACCTGGCAGGTGACAGTCTGCCCTTCCTACCCCTTCCCTCCTTGAGCCCCACTGCTTGGCCAGCACTGCCCGCCCCCCAGGCTGGTTTGGATTTCTGTGTTGAGTTTCCTCATAGATAGAACCCCTGGGGACCTTTTGCCATAGAGATCTGGGTCGTGCCCAGCCCTCACCTGGTCCTAGAGACCTCCTGGGGAGCTGGCCATGGAGCAAAGGTGGGGAGGCTACTGCTGGGTCCTTTGCTTCCCTGAGCTGTGCTAAAGCCCTGGGGTGGAAAGCAGGAAGGACCAGGATCATCTGTTATTTGCAGGATGTAGATGAGAAAATCAAAGAGCAGAGGTGGGTTTAAAATGTGCTTGGCATGTGTTTGCACTGAGGTCCCTCAGCTCTGAGCCCGAAACTCTGGAGGGGCTGGGGAGGGGTGTTGGGAACTGCCCCACAAATGGCCCCTTGCCTTTCCCGGCATCCAGCACCCACCTCAATCCTGATGTCTAAGGGTAACCTGGGCTTCCTCAGGCTGGAGCGCCGGTTGCCAATGGAGTCAGGTGGAGCGGAAACTCGAGTCCCTGGGGTGCGGCCAGCCACCATCGTGCCCCTGGTGGGTGGGTACACGTGGCAGGTACATGTGGGGGCATCTCTGCTTCTCAAAGCCAGCTGCGGCTGGAGCAAGCTGGCACCCAGGCCACCTCCTTTCTTAAGTCCAGGAGACCCTGCCGCTTGAAGAGGAATCTGAGCAACCCCCTCCCACTCCGGGGTCAGCCAGTCGGGCAGTGGAGGGTCAGAACTCGACCAGTCCCTGCCTGTGGGCGCTGATACCCGCTGCCCCCTGCTGGACCGCGCTCGATTTGCGGCAGCGGCTTGTGCGCGCGGTGGGTCTGCGTGTACTTGTGCGCGTACACGTGGCTGAGTGTGGGGGTGTCAGGCCTCCACGCTCAACATCCACTTCCGAGTCTGAATCAGGCTCTCTCCTTGCCCCCTCCCCCCAAGCTCCTTGGTCTCCCTTTTCTCTTCTCCCACCGCCTCTGCACATGTCCCTTTAGAAATAAAAACACTTATTTTGTAGGCGGGAGAGGAGGGTGACCAGCTTTCCCTTGCCTCCTCGTGGGTGCCCCTCTCTGTCCCAAGAGGTTTGTTTGCTCTTTAAGTCCGTGCAGCCGCGGAGGCAGGGGGTGACGCCCCCCGCCCCCCGCCCCAGCCCACCCTCGACTGTATGGTCTCGGCCCCAGACTTGGCTGAGTCCCCTTACCAGATGGGGAAACTGAGGCAGGAAGGGAGAAAGGAGGTAGGGCCGGGAGAAGCTCTCCCACCCGGCTCTCTCACCGCCCCCGCACCCGCGCCGGATTTAGCCGCAGGGAGGCTGGGAACATTGTCTTTATTTTAAGCCACCGAGTGCGGCACGAACGCGGCTGCTCGCGACAAAGGGCTCGGCGAGGCAGCGGCAGGCGGCGCACGTGGGGGTCCAGCCCCGCCCCCGCGCGACCCTCAGCCGCAGTCGGACGGCCGGGCATGACCTCGGCCACTTCCCTTTTCTGGCCTTTCGGGCGGGATCCCTGTTGGCACAGGCTCCTGGCGGTTGCTATTTTGGTCGCCGGGCCGAGGATTCACTCACTCCCTTTAGGCCACCGAGGGAACAGGGTGTCGGCCCATAGGGCCGGGTTCCTCTCTCAGCCTCCTCTCCTGGAGGAAGAGAGAAGATGCCTTGGGTGGGAACTAGCTCTCCGGCTTCCCAGTGGAGGCGCCCTGAGCAAGTTAGGGCCCCCTCTAGTCTGTTTCGTCATCAGTCGGGGCACTTAGAAATACCTCCCTGACAGCGCTGTTTGGTCGCCAGTTGCAGGTTAAACTTGGCACTGGCGTTTGTTACAAGTGAAAGCCATCATCATTGTTATTTATAACTCATCTTGAGCACTTACTACGTGTCCGGCCCTGTTAAGGACTCTTAATTAATTAACTAGTTTTGTTTATCACTGCAACTCCCAGAGGGAGCTTCTATTATTATTCCCATTTTACAGATGAGTAGAGGTATAAGCAGCTCGCGTGCCAGGGGGTTTCACGTAGGATGCGGTCAGCGTGCTTGGGGCGGTCCGGGGACTGGGGTCGGGGAGGGAGAGTGAAGGCTTCAGGGATGTCAGAAACCGGTGACAGCATTTGTAAAAATTCGAGGATCTTGGATGAAAGCCGCGCGCGGGTGCGGGAAGGAAGTGAGCGTCGCGCTCCCACTCTGCGCTCGCAGCCCCTCAGCTTAACCTTCACCCTTGGCTTGAAGCCACTTTAGAAGCTCAAACCGAGATAAACTTGCCACTTCTCAGTGCTGCTTCCTGTTCTGGGAGAAGTTGGCGGAGTGGGCGATCCTCCTGGCCCCCACCAGACCTAGGGTTGGTCTTCAGTGCCCTCTGGAATGGACCTGGGTTGGTGATCTCACCCGTGGTGGGAAGGGGCCTCCATTCCCAGAGGGGAGGCAGCCGGTCGTTCTGGGGGTACCCTTCCTTGATACGTTCCCCCCACCCCGCCCCCCACTGCTTTAGGCCCTCAGCCTCGTTACCCCTTCCCTCTCACCTTTCGGGCGGAGGGACTAATTCCCAGATTCAAAAGGAGAAACTAAAATCAGGGCGGGGCTGCGGATGGTGGCGGCTTAGAAAGGCGCCCCTCCCGATCCCCCGCAGTCCCTGCAGCCCGGGGGGCCGGAGGAAAGTGACTTCTACAAAGGCATCATCTTGGACAGGATATCGGGCTTTTCCGAGTCTAGTTGCGAAGATAAGGCCTCTTAGGAACAATCTCCCCTTCACCTACTGGGCGCTTCACCTCCCTCAGCATGGTTCTGTTCTGGGAGCCTCGGGGCAGTCGAGGGCCCGCAAGAGCCCCGCGCCGCCGTCCCCGAAGCCTCGAAGTCAGCTTCCAAAGAAAGGATGGATTCTGGAGGCCCGGAGAGTGGCGCCTCGCGCGGCCTGAACCTGCAGGGGCGCTGCCTAGTCCTTACAGCGGGTGGGGCCGAGTTAACCGGGCGCCCGGGGTCGGGCGGTGATTGTTGGGAACCGAGGCAACGCATCCTGGACTAATCTCTGGATCCCGGTGGGACTGGGGCGCGGGGAAAAGCTGCGTTCCCTCAGGGCACGCGTTAGCGTCCCCTTGTCCCGCGTGTAAGGACCTGAGTCCGGGTCACTTGCTGCCGCCTAGGAGCTGGATGCACTGAGGCCGTGCGGCCCGGACGGAGGAAAGGCGCGCTTTCCGCGATGGAGGCCCGTGATTCTCGCGAAATCTCTGTGGCCAACAGCAGTTCGAAAAATCGGATTAACAGCGTCGACTTTGCTACGCTTGGTCAGTGGACACCCGGCCCCATGTTTTCACGCCACACGGTATAGGGGCCCCGGCCCGGCCCAGGACGACGTTAGGCTGCTGGAGAGAACTCAGGTCGAGCTCTGGGCGGAAACGTAGGGCGGGATCCCGGCCTTGAGGTTTTGATGTCCAAGGTTTCCCTTGGACTCTCTGTAACTGAGTCCTTGCGCCCTGGGAGTGACCTGGTGAGGCAGGACGGATTTCGGAGTTCCCAGCTCCCGACCCAGATAAGTTTGCTTCCTTTCCTGGTAACACCCTTCCCTCCGACTCCGACTCCCGAGGGCATGTATCCCGTCTTCGAATTTCCCACCGAGGTGGAGACTGAAGTTCGAAGCCCACGAAGGCCAGGAAAGGGACGGAGCCAGGCGAGTGGAGCCTAAGACGGGTCCCTCTCCCATCCACCTCTGGCGAGACCCTCGCCTCTCACAGGCGCAGCAAGTCCATCGGTGGCAGCGGGCTGCCCTTCACTCTCCGAGCCTCCGCCCGGATCCTTGAACTCAGTACTTGCTCGGGCCGCTCCAGTGGTACCCACCGCTCCCTGCAGCTCCCGCCGCGCCGTCTAGCGGCCAGCGCTGCTTTTTGCCTGGGACCGGGGCGCCCAGAGGCCGGGGTGCCTGGGGCTGGTGCCCAGAGCGTATTTTCCTTCGCAGGGAGAGAAATGATAGTACATATTCCTTCTTCATAGACTACGGTGAAGGCTTTTCGTTGGCATGGGTGAGTAAAGGATGGTGCAGATATAGCTCCAGGAAGAAATAGGAACTGGGTACCTTGCTTGCAGCGCTTGCTGCTGGCCACCGTGTTTGTAAACACTTCATTTGTTGTTCAGTCGCTCAGTCGTGTCCAGACTCTTTGCGACCCCATGGACTGCAGCACGCTAGGCTTCCCTGTCCTTCACCAACTCCAAGAGCTTTCTCAAACTCATGTCCATTGAGTCGGTGATGCTATCCAGTCATCTTATCCTCTGTCGTCCCCTTCTCCTGCCTTCAATCATTTCCAGCTTCAGTGTCTTTTCCATTGAGCTGGCTCTTCCCATCAGGTGGCCCAAGTGCTGGAGCTTCAGCTTTAGCATCAGTCCTTCCAGTGTATATTCAGAATTGATTTCCTTTAGGATTGACAGGTTTGATCTTGCAGTTCAAGGGACTCTCAAGAGTCTTATCTGCACGGCACTTTGAAAGTATCAATTCTTTGGCGTTCAGCCTTCTTTATGGTCCAACACTCACATCCATACATGACTACTGGAAAAGCCATAGCTTTGATTCTATGGACCTTTGTTGGTAAAGTAATGTCTCTGCTTTTTAATATGCTTTCTAGGTTTGTCATAGCTTTTCTTCCAAGGAGCAAGTGCCTTTTAATTTCATGGCTGCAGTCACCATCCAGAGTGATTTTGGAGCGCCCCCCCCCCATAAAGTCTATCACTGTTTCCATTGTTTTCCCATCTACTTGCCATGAAGTGTTGGGACCAGATGCCATGATCTTCACTTTCTGAATGTTGAGTTTTAAGTCAACTTTTTGACTTTCCTCTTTCACTTTCACCAAGAGGCTCTTTAGTTCTTCACTTTCTGCCATAAGGGTGGTGTCATCTGCATATCTGGGGTTATGGATATTTCTCCCAGAAATCTTTATTCTAGCTTGTGCTTCATCCAGCCCGGCATTTCGAATGATGTACTCTGCAGATAAGTTAAATAAGCAGGATGACAGTATACAGCCTTCACATACTCCTTCCCGATTTGGAACCAGTCTGTTGTTCCATGTCCAATTCTAACTTACTTCTTGACCTGCATATAGATTCTCTCAGGAGGCAGGTCAGGTGGTCTGGTATTTCCATCTATTTAAAAATTTTCCACAGTTTGTTGTGATCCACACAGTCAAAGGCTTTGGCATAGTCAATAAAGCAGAAGTAGATGTTTTTCTGGAACTCTCTTGTTTTTTCGATGATCCCAATGGATGTTGGCAGTTTGATCTCTGGTTCCTCTGCCTTTTCTAAAACCAGCTTGAACATCTGGAAGTTCTCAATTCATGTACTGTTGAAGCCTAGTTTGGAGGATTTTGAGCATGACTTTGCTGGCATGTGAAATAAGTACAGTTGTGCAGTAGTTTGAACATTCTTTGGCATTGCCCTTCTTTGGGATTGGAATGAAAACCGACCTTTTCCAGTCCTGTGGCCACTGCTGAGTTTTCCAAATTTGCTGGCATATTGAATGTAGCACTTTAACAGCATCATCTTTTAGAATTTGAAATAGCTCAGCTGGAATTCCATCACCTCCAGTAGCTTTGTTTGTTGTGATGCTTCCTAAGGCCTGCTTGACTTTGAACTCCAGGATGTCTGGCTGTGGGTGAGCGATCACACCATAGTGGTTATCCGGATCATTAAGATCTTTTTTGTATATTTCTTCTGTGTATTCTAGGGGCTTCCTTGATAACCCAGTTGGTAAAGAATCTGCCTGCAATGCAGGAGACCCCAGTTCGATTCCTGGGTCAGGAAGATCCCCTGGAGAAGGGATAGGCTACTCACTCCAGTATTCTTGGGCTTCCCTTGTGGCTCAGTTGGTAGAGAATCTGCCTGCAATGTGGGAGACCTGGGTTTGATCCCTGGGTTGGGAAGATCCCCTGGAGAAGGGACAGGCTACCCACTCTAGTGTTCTGGCCTGGAGAATTCCATGGTCTATAGTCCATGGAGTCACAAAGAGTCGTACACGACGGAGTGGCTTTTATTTTTTCTGTGTATTTTTGCCATCTCTTCTTAATATCTTCTGCTTCTGTTAGGTCCATACCATTTCTGTCCTTTATTGTGCCCATCTTTGCATGAAATGTTCCCTTGGTATCTCTGGTTTTCTTGAAGCGATCTCTCGTCTTTCCCATTCTATTGTTTTCCTCTGTCTCTTTGTATCGATCACTGAAGAAGGCTTTGTTGTGTCTCCTTGCTGTCTTTTGGAACTCTGCATTCAGATGGATATATCTTTCCTTTTCTCTTTTGCCTTTTGCTTCTCTTCTTTTTCTCTTCTTTTCTCAGCTATTTGAAAGGCCTCCTCAGACAAACATTTTGCCTTATTGCATTTTTTTTCCCTTGGGCATGGTTTTGATCACTGCCTCCTGTACAATGTTACGAACCTCCATCCACAGTTCTTCAGGCACGCTATCAGATCTAATCCGTTGAATCTCTTTGTCACTTCCACTGTATAACCATGCATAAGGGATTTGCTACCAGCTACTGCATTCATAAACACTTTAGTGCACTTTCTCATTTAACCCTCCTAACAGCTCCTTGATACAGGCACAATTATGATCTCCCTTTTACATACAGAAAACTGTGGCCCAGAGAGCTTACGTTAACTTATGCCCTCTTGATTCTTCTACAGTCTATAGGTTTTGCACACACCTTGTTGAGAACTCTTTAGGTGATTTCAAAGACACAGGGTATCATGGGAACTGCTAAGCCAGTGTTTCTACCAGTCATTCATTCTGTTGTTCAATTTATTTAGCAAACAGATAAGCCCAACTGTGTGCAGGCACTGTTCTCAGTGTTTTACGTGTTTTCACTAATTTAATTTTTATAGCAACCTGAAGAAGTAGGTAGAATTATTATCCCCACCTTATAGATGAGAAAGCTGAGGCACTGAGAGGTCCAGTCATCTGTTCAAGGTCACATGGCTGGTAGGTGCCAGAGCTTCCCAATCATTGGTTTTGCCCCATCCTAAAGATCCCCCAAATGTCAGTGTTGGTGTATCCACATCTCTTCTTTCCTTCTCATCCATTTCCCTGGGCTGTGGAGCAATCAGCTTTTCTGCCAGGGTCTAACACAACCCTGGCCCTGTGGCCCCCCTTCTCTGCCCCCTTGGCGCCACCTGCCAGGCCCATCACTGAAGGAGGCTTGACCAGGGCAGGGATTGATGACTTTGAGTGGACCTCGGAGGCCGCCTGTTTACTCCGCTGGCCGGCACACACTGTGATTAACCATGCACAATCGAGTTAGGACCTGTAGCCCCAGGGCTGAGGCCAGCGACGGGGGAGGGCCTGCCGGCTTGAGCTGCCTCTCCCTCTCCCTGGGGCATTTCAGGGGTTGGCTTGGAGCTGGAGCCCCCTGGAGAAGGGGGTGTGCCCTGCCAGCAGTGGCCGGGAGCATGCAGTCCTCAGAGGTGGGGACCACACTTCCCCACCCTGCTTCCTCTTCCCATAGAGGACCAGAGGCTCAGAAAGGGAGCAGTTGGGTGTGTATCAGAGAAAGGAAGTCCTTTTCCGAAAGGAAACTTCTAACAGAAAACAGCAGCCGTACCAGAAAGGAGGAAGGAAGCCAGGCTGGGTCTGGGTCTGGCTTTTGGATGGTGGGTCTCAAAGCTGTGTCACTTCTGTGAATATTCATCTTGTGTTTTCCTCCCAGGCATGTGAACCTTTCCACTGAGCACATGCCCCGCCTGCTGTAGCTTTCCTGCCACCAACAGCCAGTGGGGTGGCTCTGTAAGCCACCGGGAGTGGAGAAAGACAGGGATAAAAGCCCACCTCCAGCTTAGCCCTCCTCCTCTACCCAACATGTCAGGGATAGGTGCTGTGTGCTGCGCCTAACTACACTGTGTCTGACTCTTGGCGACCCCGTGGGCTGCAGCCCGCCAGGCTCCTCTGTCCACGGGGATTCTCCAGGCAAGAATACTGGAGTAGGTTGCCATGCCCTCCTCCAGGGCATCTTCCCAACCCAGGGATCAAACCCAGTTCTCCCGCATTGCAGGCAGATTCTTTACCATCTGAGACCCCAAGGAAGCCCAGTAGTCCCTGTTAAAAAAACCACACAGTGCAGCCTGTGCCGTATCCTACTTCCTCCAGATTGATTATGCAGTCTTGAGGGAACAGTCTGGAATCTATGCCCAGCACTGTGTTCAACACTGGGAGGGAACAGGAGAAACCAGAGCCGGAAGTCATGGGATTGGTGAGTGCATTGAGGAGACAAGATTGATGCTGAGAAAGGTACCGGGATGGACCAGAGTCCCTGAACTTCCTGAGCTTAGGGATAAAGGTGAAGAAAGGTAGTGTGTTGGTCAGTGGGAGCCGGCCCCAGCGCGGAGGAGGTAGGCCTGGCTGGGGAGGAGGATCTGATTCCCAAGGCTACTTAGTTTTCAGCGCACCAGGATGTTGGAGTCAAGTTGGGGGCCCAGGCGAGAACCTTGTGCGGAAGAAATAGTCATGGCTTCTCTCCCAGCCTCAGGCTACCCTTCCATAAATGGAATTGAGGACACAGGCAAAGATGGAATAGATGCACTATATGGTCCTAGAGGACTGTCCCAGCTTTGATGTTCTTTAAAAATGGGATACCTGGGGTTTTACTCAGCTCTGTCTCTTCTGGTCATGAGATCTTGGGCACATTACTCTCCTTCTCTGAGTTTTGGTAAAGCTGGAAGTAAAATGGGAGGCTAGTCTAGTATACCTCAAAGTTTATTTTGCAGAACATTAGTAGGTATAAGTTATAAGAAAAAAGTCTTCGATGATAAATTAATTAGGCTTTCTTTACTGCAGGAACCTATCAGAGCCTTTATTTATTTTTCACACTCTTTAAAAATTTTTTTAATTGGAGGATAATTGCTTTACAATATTGTGTTGGTTTCTGCCATACATCAACATGAATCAGCCACAGATATACACATGTTCCTTCCCTCTTGAACCTCCCTCCCACCTCCGACCCCATCCCACCCACCAGGGTTGTCACAGAACACTAGCCTGAGCTCCTTGCGCTATACAGCAACTTTCCATTAGCCATCTATTTTACACATGGTTATTGTTGTTCAGTTGCTCAGTTGTGTCTGACTCTTTGTGACCCCTTGGACTGCAGCACACCAGGCTTCCCTGTCTTTCACCATCTCCCGGAGCTTGCTCGAACTCCTGTCCACTGAGTTGGTGATGCCATCCAACCATCTCATCCTCTGTTGCCCATTTCTCCTCCTGCCTTCAATCTTTCCCAGCATCAGGGTCTTTTCCAGTGAGTCGGCTCTTTGCATCAGGTGGCCAAAGTATTGGAGCCTCAACTTCAGCATCAGTCCTTCCAGTGCATATTCAGGTTTGATTTCCTTTAGGATTGACTGGTTTGATCGAGCAGTCCAAGGGACTCTCAAGAGTCTTCTCCAACACCACAATTCAAAAGCATCAATTCTTCGGTGCTCAGCTTTCTTCCTTATGGTCCAGCTCTCACATTTATACATGACTACTGGAAAAACCATAGCTTTAAATATATGGACATTTGTCGGCAAAGTAACATCTCTGCTTTTTAATATGCTGTCTAGGTTTGCTAAAGCTTTTTCTCCAAGGCGCAAGTTTCTTTTAATTTCATGGCATTTTAAGTTTACACCTGGTAATGTATATATTTCAATGCTACTATCTCAATTTGTCCCACCCTCTCCTTCCCCCACTGAGTCCATAAGTGTCCATAAGTCTGTTCTCTATGTCTGAGTCTCTATTCCTGCCCTTATTAGAGCCTTTAAATGGCAAATATACACTAAGAATCTCTGAGAGGCAGAGAGGAACATGCGGTGTTTTCCAAACTTATTTCACCACAGAACTATTTTTATGTAGAGCATCTTTTAGGACTGGCATCTCAGGAACACACTTGAGTCACTCTGGGCTGGCTTATCTAGAAACGCTCCAGTGTTTGATAACAGGTGATCATTTTAGGCATTTCCTCCATCTTTCAGGTCTGGGCTTCCTGTCCCTTCAGGGGCTTGTTTCCCTAGCCCCAGCCTCACCTGGACACTTCATCTCCTGGCTGCTTGCTCTGTTCTCCTTAGTATGTCTGTCTTCATGCTTGACTTCCTGTGACTTCCCTGGCTTAGTCCTGGAGAGCTCAAACTCCACCCAGCTACCCCCTTCCCAGATTATTTCCTTCTGGTCTCCAGAGTCCTGAAGGGTGCTGTCTGGGCCTTCTTGGCTGGGGTCCATGTGATGGCTGGCCCATGCCCTAAGATGTGGTTTCCTGGTTCCCAATCCCATGTCCCAGCCTCAGGTTTCCCACACCTTGCCTGTAGCCCAGTCCTCAGTCAACAGACCTTATTCCTCAGGCCCCTGTGAGGTCTCTGGCCCCTCTGGCCTCAGACCCTTACACCTTGAACCTTAGCTCCTGACCCTTCCCACTTCCTACCCATGGTTCCAGCCTTCCTCTATAAATCCATTTCTGGAATTTGGGGTTCTAGGCGGTTAACAGGCAGCTCTTCCCCTCTCCCTTGCTGTAGCTCTTGAGTCTCTGGGCCTGAGCCAGGGTCAAAGGAGAGCCAGGTGCCAGAGGAGAGGCAAGGTGGGAGATGAATCCTACAAGTAGTTACAGTGATACCCTGCCCCCCATCATAAGCCTGGTTCAAGATGAGGGGACACCTTGGAGGCAAAAGTATAGATTATGAACTAGAACATTCTAGTGAGGCAAGTGGCAAGAGGTGGGGAGATGGGGCAGAGACATGAGGGTGGTAAGCCTAACTCAGCAGGTGGTCCTGGGATGAGACTGGGGACAAAGATGGGTCACAGGGTAGTAAAGACCCATTTTACAGATGTGGGAGCTGAGGCCTTGTGACTTGCGGTAGGGTGGCTTCCCAGGTGGCACTAGTGGTAAAGAATCCGCCTGCCAAAGCACGAGGCAGAAGAGACTTCTTTGATCCCTGGGTCGGGAAGATGCCCTGGAGGAGGAAATGGTAACCCACTCCAGTATTCTTGCCTGGAGAATCCCACGGACAGAGGAGCCTGGCGGGCTGCAGTCCATAAGATTGCAAAGAGTTGGACATGACTGAGCAACTTAGCACACATGCGTATATAATCATTCAGTGGCTAGCACCCAACCCCACATTGTCTCCTTGTGTTGACGTCTCGATTTGCAGTTCCCAAAGTGCTTTCTCTTCATCACTTCTTCCTTCTAGAGCTATTTTCTGTACAGAGCCTCTGAGGACCCCCTCTTGGTTCTCCTACATCCCTGACTGCTGTTCCTCAGTCTTCTTTGCTGATCTTCCTCATGCGCCCACGCTCTAAACTTTGGAAGATCTGGGCTCAGTCACTGGACCTTCACACCCACTCTCTAGGTTAGGTCACCCACACGTTGATGACTTCCAGATTTTATGTCTCCAGCCCAGCCTCTGCTCTGAACACCAGACTCATATATCCAAAATTTCCTCATCTGTAAAATGGGGATAATGATAGCTCGACGTCATAACGTTGTTATGAGGATTAAATGAATTAAGACGTAAAGTGTTGGAAGAGTGCCTGACTCTGATTAGCACTATGGCTGGAGCTATGATTATTGTTATCACTGACATCATTGCTGCCTGCCAGCTCCACTTGTATACCTAGAATCATCTCAGACATGACTCATCCCTAACCCCAAACTGCAGGCTTGCTTATCTCAGTAGATGATAACCCTGTCCTTCTAGTAGTGCACGTCCCACACCGTGCAGTCATTCTTGACTTCACTCTTTCTCTCACATTCATGCATGCTCAGTTACTTCAGTCATGTCCAAATCTTTGCGACCCTATGAACTGTAGCCCGCCAGGCTCCTCTGTCCATGGGATTCTCCAGGCAAGAATACTTGAGTGGGTTGCCATTTCCTCCTCCAGGGCATCTTCCCCACCCTGGGACTGAATCCACATCTCTTGTGTCTCCTGTATTGGCAGGCAGGTTCTTTGCCACTAGTGCCACTTGGGAAGTCAGTCTTTCCTTCACATACTCAAATCTAATTCATTGAAAAAAAATCCTGTTGTCTCTCCCTTGAGTATATCCAGGGCACAACCACTGTGGTCTTGGCCGGTGTCATCTCTCACCTGGATAACTGCCTCCACACTGGTCTTCCTGCTTCTACCCAGACTCATTGTGTAGTCTGTCTTCAACACAGCATTCAGAAGCTTCCTTTTTTTTTTTTTTAAAGTCATTTAAAAAAGTTTTTGGCTGTACCATGTGGCATGCAGGATCTTGGTTCCCTGACCAGGGATCAAACCTGTGTCCCCTGCATTGGAAGTGTAGAGTCTTAACTACTATACTGCCAGGGAAGTCCATTTTTTTGGGGTCTTTTTTTTGGTTCCTTTTGACATATAAGTCAAATTGTATCTGTCTTCTATTTGAGATGCTTTATCACTTTCTTATCTTTTTCAAAGTAAAGCTCCTGGTCTCAAAAGTACTTGTAAGGCCATTGTGTGACCAGCCTCTTCTTCCTCCTTGATCTAGTATCCTAGTACTGCCTCCTTACTAGTCTGCTCCAGCCAAACAGGACTTGCTGTTTCCAGAAATTGCCAAGCACTTTCCTTACTAGAGGACTTTGCACTACTGTTACCTTTGCCCAGTAATAGTAAACAAATGATTAAGTTTCTACAAGATAAGGACAATAATGAGATCATACAAAAGGCTAGGGCTTTGAGTGGTGGCCAGGGCCCTCAGCCCTACAACTGCAAGGAAATGAGTTCAGGTAACAGCTGAAAAATTGATGCTTTCAAATTGTGGTGCTGGAGAAGACTCTTGAGAGTCCCTTGGACTGCAAGGAGATCAAACCAGTCAATCCTAAAGGAAATCAACCCTGAATATTCATCAGAAGGACTGATGCTGAAGCTGAGGCTCCAATACTTTGGCCACTTGATGCAAAGAGCCGACTCGTTGGAAAAGACCCTGATGCTGGGAAAGACTGAAGGCAGGAGGAGAAGGGGACGACAGAGGATGAGATGGTTGGATAGTATCATTACTCAGTGGACGTGAAATTGAGCAAACTCCGGGAGATAGTGGACAGAGAAGCCAGGCAATTGCAGAGAAGCCTGCGGCAGTCCATGGGGTCACAGAGAGTTGGACATGACTTAGCAATTGAACAGCAGCGGTGGCAGCAAAGGCCTACTGTATAGCAGAGGGACCTATATTCAGTATCTTGTAATAACCTATAATGGAAGAGAATCTGAAAAAGAATATATATATAATGGAATCATTTTATGTACATAGCTGTTTTTAATGAAATGATAGGATGGGTCTGACCAGGAGTGGGGGACCCCGGGGAACTATTCTCTGGAACCACAGGTTCAGTCGAGGCCCCTAGCATCTTCCCCAGGCTGCGATTTCTCCGTTCCTCCTCCTGGGGTGGAGATGCAGGGGCTCCGTCCACCCTCTGCCCCTGCTCGGTTCTCAGGAGGACTGGAGTGGGACCATCTGCTGTTCCTGCTGCTTCTGCCCCGATTTCTCTTTCCACCTACGGGGGAAGGAGAAGCAGGGTGTAGGAGTAGAGATGGGGGTTTGTGCTCAGTTGTCCCACTTTGTGTCCAAATCTCCCACTGTTTCCAAGAGTTGAGAGTCCCAGAAGGGATTCTAGGCGACTCTGCCTATCTGTGAGAACAGGACCAGGGAATCCAGAGGCCTGGATTCTGGCCTTGGCTCCACCAGAGTCTAGCTGAATGACCCCAACTAAGTCCCCAGTCTCCCCTGGATCTGTTTTTTTTTTTTTTTCTTTTTTTGTTAAATGGACGGGATCAAGGATTTGTGCAGTCCTAGAGCTCTGAGGGTATGGGGGGAAGCCTACCTTCTCTCCAGGTCTTGCAGTGTGATGGGCAGCGGCAGCCCTAGCGTCTCTGGCAGGGGGGCAGTGATGGGGCAGGCAGCCACGAGGACCCCTCCATAGATGAAAAGAGTCAGGGAAGGGTAGAGGTCGGAGGTCATGCCCACCAGCGGGCTCATAATGCTGCCTATGTTGGCCAAGCAGTTTGTCACATTCATACCTCTCCTCCTGCGGGGAGGGAGAGCACCCCGGTGAGGCCAGTAAGGCTTGTGGGCACCCTAACTCTGCCTGACAATTGTGTTTTCTTCCTTCACTTTCCTCCTTGGTAGCTCAGATGGCAAAGAATCTGCCTGCAGTGCAGAAGATGGGAGCTTGACCCCTGCATTGGGAAGATCCCCTGGAGAAGGGAACGGCAACCCATTCCAGTATTCTTGCCTGGAGAATTCCATGGACAGAGGAGCCTGGCAGGCTGCAGTCCATGGGGTCACAAAGAGTTGGACATGACTGAGCGACTAACACTTTCACTTGTTTTTCATAGGAATGCACTTACCCTGGCTGGCTAAAAGGAAAGTTGATAGTAACTGTTTTCAGAACCAAGAAGCCTGGGCTCCGGTTCCAATGTGAACTTACTGTATGACCGCAAACAAACCCCCAACCAACCTCTTCCCCAAGCTGCAGACACCATATCCAGCTTCGACGGGCACGTCAAACCACCCACTTGCTCAAATGTCTAGTAATCATCCTGATGACTCTTGTTCCCTTATTTCCCCATGTCTTCGGATGTCTCTTCCTCCAAAACACATTCAGAATCAGTTCCCTCCTCCCCACCTCCGCTACCACTGCCTGCCAGGTTGTGAAAGTGGTTAGTCACTTAGTCATGTCCTTGTGACCCCAAGGACAGTAGCCTGCCAGGCTCCTCTGTCCATGGGATCCTCCAGGCCAGAATACTGGAGTGGGTAGCCATTCTCTTCTCCAGGTTATCTTCCCAATCCAGGGATCGAACCTGGGTTTCCTGCACTGCAGGCAGATTCTTTACCAAAGGAGCACCTCTGGAAGCCCCAGGTTATGATGAGTCATTTTCACCTCTTGCCAGTGCCATTGCAGTAAGCTCCTGGCTGGTCTTCCCATTTCTACTTTTTAAAAAAAAAATATTTTATTTGACTGTGATGGGTTTTAGTTGTTACACTTGGGATCTTCGATCTTTGTTGCAGCTTGTGGGATCTAGTTCCCTGGTCAGGGATCGACCCAGGGCCCCCTGCATTGGGAGCACAGAGTCTTAGCTAGTGGACCACCAGGGGAATTGCCCCATTTCTACTCTGGGCCCTTCTATTCCCAGTCTATTCTCCACGAGAAAGCCAAAGTGATCTTTATTTATTTTATTTTTAAAAATTGGATTATAGTTTCTTTGCACTGCTATGTCATTTTCTGCTGTAGAGCAAACTGAACCAGCCATATGTATATGTATGTCCTGTCTTTTTTGGATTTCTTTCCTATTTAGGTCATCACAGAGCACCAAGTGGAGTTCTCTGTGTTATAAAGGAGGTTCTCATTAGTTATCTGTTTATATATAGTATCAGTAGTGTAGACCATTCAGGTATGACTTAAATCAAATCCCTTATGATTATACAGTGGAGGTAATGAATAGATTCAAGGAGTTAGATCTGATAGATAGAGTGCCTGAAGAGCTATGGATGGAGGTTTGTAACATTGTACAAGAAGCAGTAACCAAAACCATCCCAAAGAAAAATCCAAGAAGGCAAAATGCCTGTCTTCTTTTGGAGGAGTCTTTACAAATCACTGAGGAAGGAAGAGAAGTGAAAGGTAAAGAAGAAAGGGAAAGATACATGCAACTGAAAGCTGAGTTCCAGAGAACATCGAGGAGAGATAAGAAGGCCTTCTTTAATGAACAATGCAAAGAAATAGAGGAAAACAACAGAATGGGAAATACTAGAGATCTCTTCAAGAAAATTGGAGATATCAAGGGAACATTTCATGGAAGGATGGGCATGATAAAGCACAGAAATGGTAAGGACCTAACAGAAGTTGAAGAGATCAAACTCCTCAGTAGCCACAGGACTGGAAAAGGTCAGTTTTCATTCCAATCCCAAAGAAAGGCAATGCCAAAGAATGTCCAGACTATCACACAACTGTGTTCATTTCAGATGCTAGGAAGGTTATGCTCAAAATACTTCAACCTAGACTTCAGCAGTATGTGAACTGAGAACTTCCAGATGTACAAGCTGGGTTCAGGAAAAGTAGAAAAACCAGAGATCAAATTGCCAACATTCGCTACATCATAGGGAAAGCAAGGGAATTCCAGAAAAACATCTGCTCCTGCTTCATTGACTAAAGCCTTTGACTGTATGGATCACAAAAAACTGTGGAAAATTCTTAAAGAGACCACCTCACCTGTCTCCTGAGAAATCTGTATGTGGGTAAATAAGCAACAGTTAGAACTGGACATGGAACAATGGACTGGTTCAAAACTGGGAAAAGAGTGTATCAAGAGTGTGTATGTTGTCACCCTGCTTATTTAACTTCTCTGCAGAGTACATCATGTGAAATGCCTGGCTGTATGAGTCACAAGCTGAAATAAGATTGCCAGGAGAAATATCAACAACCTCAGCTATGCAGATGATGCTCCTCTAATGGCAGAAAATGAAGAGGAACTAAAGAGGCTTTTGATGAGGGTGAAAGAGGAGAGTGAAAAAGCTAGCTTAAAACTCAACATTCAAAAAACTAAGATCATGGCAGCCAGTCCCATCACTTCATGACAAACAGAAGGGGAGAAGCAGTGACAGGTTTTATTTTCTTGGGCTCCAAAATCACTGTGGACACTGACTACAGCCATGAAATTAAAAGACGCTTGCTCCTTGGAAGGAAAGCTACGACAAACCTAGACAATGTATTAAAAATCAGAGACATCGCTGTGAACAAAGGTCCATATGGTTAAAGCTATGGTTTTTCCAGTAGTCATGTATGGATGTGAGAGTTGGATCATAAAGAAGGCTGAGCACCAAAGAACTGATGTTTTCAAACTGTGGTGCTGAAGAAGACTCTTGAGAGTCCCTTGGACTACAAGGAGATCAAACCAGTCAATCCTAAAGGAAATCAACTCTGAATATTCATTGGAAGGACGGATGCTGAAGCTCCAATACTTTGACCACCTGATGCAAAGAGCCGACTCATTGAAAAAGACCCTGATGCTGGGAAAGATTGAGGGCAGGAGGAAAAGTGGGTGGCAGAGGATGAGATGATTATATAGCATCACTTACTCAATGGACGTGAATTTGGGCAAACTCTGGGAGATAGTGAAGGACAGGGGAGCCTGGTATGCTGCAGTCCACAGGGTCCCAAAGAGTTGGACACGATTTAGTGACTGGACAACAACAAACAAAACCAATAGTGTATATAAGTCAACCCCAAATTCCCCCAAAGTGATCTTTAAAAACAGTAACTTAGATCCTTACACCCTCTGCTTAAAATCATCTATGTTATCTCGTCAGGCTAGAATAAAATCTGACTTCCTTCTAAATTTCTTTGTGATGGGTCCTGACTACCCAGTTCTTATCTTGCTCCCTGTACCTTTCTTTCCTCATTTATTCTTTACTGTTGGCCTTTGATCCTTACAGAGGAGACCTACCCAGATCATCTTATCTAAAGTACCGACCTAGTCACTCTCTCTTTTTCTACTTTTTTTTTTTTTTTTGGAACCTAAGGAGCGGAGGGTTGAGTTAATTATAAATCTCAGTTCATGACCCTCTCACCCTCTATTATCATTTGTACTTGAAAGGCCTTTTTATTCCCCATCTTAATTGTTGAGTCCTTTTTATCAGTATAATCATCGCTGTTGTTCAGTTGCTAAGTTGTGTCTGATTCTTTGCAATCCCATGGACTGCAGCACACAAGGCTTCCCTGTCCTTCACTATCTCCCAGAGTTTTCTCACACTGAATCCATTAAGTCAGTGATGTCATCCAGCCATCTCATCCCCTGTTGCCCCCTTCTCCTCTTGCCCTCACTTTTTCCCAGCATTAGGGTCTGGTCTTTTCTAGTGAGTCGGCTCTTCACATCAGGTGGCCTATTGGAGCTTCAGCTTCATCGTCAGTCCTTCCAATGAATATTCATGGTTGAGTTCCTTTAGGGTTGAGTGGTTTGATCTCGATCCAGTCAAAGGAAGTCTCAAGAGCTTTTTCCAGGACCACAATTCGAAAGCATCAACTCTTTGGCATTCACCCTTCTTTATGGTCTGACTCTCACATCTTTACATGACTACTAGCAAAACCATAGCTATAAAATAAAATATAATATCGTTATCCTCTCCTAATCCCTTCCTTGCCAAAGTCAACTTATTATGTCACATTTGCTGTGCATTTTTTATTTGCATATGTCCTTGTAAAGTATTGTTTTGTGTGCAAATATTTTAATTTACCTAAATGGTATAGGTAATAGATCATTCTATTTCTCATTTCATTCAGCACTCTTTTTTTTTAATTGGAGTATAATTGCTTTACAATGTTGTGTTAGTTCAGCACTCTGTTTCAAAGATATTTCCATGCCTATATGTTTACCTACTGTTGCATGCTCCTCCACAGTGGGCATTTCACCTAAATGGCTAGACTGCTGCCCATCAGCCATGACCTCAGACAACACTGCAGTGAGTGTGCTTGTGCACAGATCATGTAGGCATTCCTCTGTGAAAAGTTCTTTAAGAAGGGCATGGTTATATGACCCAGCAATCCCACTTCTGGGCATACACACCGAGGAAACCAGATCTGAAAGAGACACGTGCACCCCAATGTTCATTGCAGCACTGTTTATAATAGCCAGGACATGGAAGCAACCTAGATGCCCATCAGCAGACGAATGGATGAGGAAGCTGTGGTACATATACACCATGGAATATTACTCAGCCATTAAAAAGAATTCATTTGAATCAGTTCTAATGAGATGGATGAAACTGGAGCCCATTATACAGAGTGAAGTAAGCCAGAAAGATAAAGACCATTACAGTATACTAACACATATATATGGAATTTAGAAAGATGGTAACGATAACCCTATACGAAAAACAGAAAAAGAGACTCAGATGTATAGAACAGACTTGTGGACTCTGGGAGAAGGCGAGGGTGGGATGTTTCAAGAGAACAGCATCGAAACATGTATATTATCTAGGGTGAAACAGATCACCAGCCCAGGTTGGGTGCATGAGACAAGTGCTCAGGCCTGGTGCACTGGGAAGACCCAGAGGGATCGGGTGGAGAGGGAGGTGGGAGGGGGGACCGGGATGGGGAATACATGTAAATCCATGGCTAATTCATTTCAATGTATGACAAAAACCACTGCAATGATGTAAAGTAATTAGCCTCCACCTAATAAAAATAAATGGGGGAAAAAAAAAAAAAGAAGGGCATGGTTAGGGTAGAGTGTGTGTGTGTGTGTGTGTGTGTGTGTGTGTGCACGCACACACACGCTGCCAGTATCTCTAGAATGGCAGCACCAACTTTCCTACCCACCAATGCTGCTTGTGGGTCGCGTGGGGATTCAGGGATCCTGTATTCTCTTGTGGCCACCGACAGTTGGCATAATCCAGCTTTTTTTTTTTTAGTTCTACCAGTTTATTGCTATCAACCCATCTCCCTCCACCCTCATGCACACATGCTCAGTCATGTAATCCCAAGGACTTCAGCCCGCCAGACTCCTCTGTCCATGGATTTTTCCAGGCAAGAATACTGGAGTGGGTTGCCATTTCCTTCTCCATAATCCAGCTTTTTAATGTTACCACTTTAGTGTGTGCAAAGTGACGATCTCATTCTTCATGTAGTTAATCTTTTGGGCTTCACTGTCTACAAAATTCCCATGTATTTATTTCTTTTATCAAGTTTCTACTGAAATTCCTTCTCTTTCTTGTTGATTTGTAGGAGTCTCATTTATATTTTTAATATTTGAAATTTGTCATTGTTAAATGTTGTAAAAACCTCCTCCCAATCTACCCTCTGTCTTTTAATATTTTTTCTTTTGCTTATGGCTTGCTTGTGGAGTCTTAGCTCCCTGATCGGGGACTGAACCTAGACCCCAGCAGTGAAAGCGCCGAGTCCTAACCACCGGACCACTAGGGAATTCCTCTCTGTCTTTTAAATTTGTCCATAGCATCCTTCAATAAGCAGAAGTCCTTTTTGATATAATCCAATCGATATAGTTGCCATATTTCTTTTTTCCTCTTCCTCTCCCTCCCCTTCCTTCCTCCTCCCCCGCCTTTATCTCTGTCTTCATCTGCATCCTTGTCTCCATCTGCATCTATCAGTTTCCAAGCCCTCTCATTAATTCTATTTGTTTCTTTTTGCACCAAGAAAGCCACAGACATGCCATGGCTTTGTTATGTCTTTATATATGGTAGAATGAGAGGCTCCTCTTTGCTTTGTTGTTTCAGAATTGACTAGCAATTATGGTCTTTTTTCTTCTATATAAATTTTAGAATAAGTTTTTGGAGTTCCTAAAAAATGACCTAATTGAAATTCTGATTAGATTATGTTGAATTTCTATAAATTTCTAAAAGTTAACCACATCTTTATTATGTTATTCTAAACAAAAGTGTGGAATCTCTCCCCATTTACTAAGATAATCTTTATATCTTAAGAAGCTTTCAGAAAACTTCTCCATGGAAGTCTTGGGTGTCCTCTGTTTATTTCCTGATAATATCTTGCTTTAGGTGCTTTTCTGAATAGTGTCTTCATTTTCAAAGATTTTCGAGGTTATCTTCTGGATTTTCTTTCTAGATTATTGCTTCTACGGTATAGCTTTTATGTTATTGCTCTTGACATTCGGTAATATGATTTTGTAACCACCATCCTGCTAAACTCTTTTATTAGCTTTGTTTGTTGATTCTGCTGGCTCAGATGGTAAAGAATCCACCTACAAATTGGGAGACCCGGGTTCGATTCCTGGGTCAGAAAGATCCTCTGGAGGAAGGCATGGCAACCCACTCCAGTATTCTTGCCTGGAGAATCCCCATGGACAGAGGAACCTGACAGGCTGAAGTCCATGGGGTTGAAAAGAGTCAGACATGACTGAGCAACTAAGCACGCACACATTGATTTTATTGGTTTATTTAGGATGATGGTCTCTAAATCTCTCTAAATAATGATGCTGTAAACACTCCTCTTTTAATTTTTTTTAAGATTTATTTATTTTTGGCTGTGCTGTGTCTTCGTTGCTGCACTCAGGCTTTCTCTAGTTGTGGCAAGTGGGGGCTATTCCTGTTGCAGTGGGGGGGCTTTTCATTGCAGTGGCGTCTCTTGTTTCAGAGAATAGGTTCTAGGTGTATGGGATTCTGTAGTTGTGGCTCATGGGCTTTAGTTGCTTCATAGCATGTGAAATCTTCCCCGACTAGGGATCGAACCCATGTCCTCTGCATGGGCAGGTAGATTCCTGTCCATCATACCACCAGGGAAGACACCAAATTTCTTATTTCTTCTTATTTCTGAATACATCAGTGTTGTCCAGGATCCCCAGTACTGTGTTAAACAGTGGATTCTGAGATCAGAGCGAATGCATGTGACTTTCTTCATTATGTATAGTGCTTGCTCAGGTGCTCTGCTTACCTCTCCAGGCCCCCAATTCCCAATTGCCCTTAAATGGTTGGCCTAGTTTTCCTGTACTTTTATTCTAGCTCCTTGGTGGAGATTTAAAAATACTTCAAGAATATTTAAAAATACTTTATTATTTTGGGGATCATTGTCGCTGTTATTCTGTTCCTTTAATGGAAATAGTCTTTTCCTCTCATTGATTTCCAGAAGTTCTTTATAAATGCTGTGTACAAGTCCTTGTAAATACCTTCTTTTTCTCTTTTCACTTTGTTTATGGTGAAACAAATGGCCAGGGGGGAAGAAAATCCAACAAAGAAAAATTTATCAGTGTTTCTTTTTTGGTTAGCCTTTTTAAAGAATGTCTTCAGAAATCCTCCCCTCTTCAGCAAAAATTAATTTTTCTTGAAGGTTGAAATATGGATTGCATTTTATTTATCTCTCATACAGGTAAATAGTTGTCCTGTTGGTGGTGGGTGGTTTAGTTGCCGTCATGTCTGACTCTTGCAACCCCATGGACTATAGCCCACCAGGCTCCTCTGTCCATGGGATTTCTCAGGCAAGAATAGTGGAGTTGGTTGTCATTTCCTTCTCCAGGGGATCTTCCCGACCCAGGGATTGAAACTATGTCTCCTGTGTTGCAGACAGGTTCTTTATTACCCAGCCACCAGGAAAGCCCAGATGTCCTGGTACTAGCTGTTCAATGGTCCATGCCCCATAACATGTGGGATCATAGCTCCTGACAGGGGATTGAACCTGTGCCCCCTGCAGTGGAAGCGCAAAGTCTTAGCCATTGGACTGCCAGGGAAGTCCTTAATGTGTTTTCTAATGTAAAACTATCCTTGCTTTCTTGAGATCAACTCTCCTTGATCATGTATAATCTTTTTTCATACATCACTGAATTCATTTTTCTAATATTCTGTTTAGGCTTTTTGTATCTGTTTATGAGTAACATTGGCCTGTTATCTTCATTTCATAACTAATCTCCTTTGGTTTCAGTGTCACCTTGCTTCACAGAATGTAGTTGACATAGTTTCCCTTTTTCTCTGTTTTCAGGAATTATTTATGTAACATTGGAAGGTTTGTTCCTTGAAAATGTGGTGGAACTCACCTGTATTAATATCTGGGCCGGGTGTTTTTTTTTTTGAGATTAGATTTTATAGTTTATTATTCAAATTTTTAATTTATTCTAGAATTAGTTTTTCTATATTATTTTAAAAAAGAATTTGTCAATTTAAATTTAGAATTTATCAGTATAGACTTGTTTATAGATTTTTGCATCTTTAATTACATAATTAAATTTTTGCACATTAACTACTCTAGTTTTATTCTTCAGTTTTTTTCCCCAATATTTATTCATGTCTAGTCTTTTAAAAAATTTATTATTATTACCAGGCATTTGCCCATTTCATTGGTATTTTCAAAGATTGACTTTTTGTTTTGACTCTCTTTCATACATTTACTTTCTATTTAATCTATTTCTGGTACTATTATTATTTGTGTTTTATAGTTAAGATGACTGAGCATTTGGACTAGTTACCTTTTATATCAGAGCCATATTCTTTTTGTTTTTTTTTTTTTGGATGCACCATGTGACCTGCAGGATCTTAATTCCCCAACCAGGGATTGAACCTGGGGCCCTGGCAGTGAAAGTGTCGAGTCCTAACCACTGGACCATTGGGGATTCCGGGCCATATTCTTAACTATTGTACTTTTTTGCTCTTAAAGTCCATCTTGACCTATCTACCTGTCTTCTGGTTAATATTTGCCTAGTATATCCTTTTCTTTTTTTTTTTTGTATATCCTTTTCTATTTCTCCACATTTAAGATTTTCATGGTCTCATGTTTTAGATGGGTATCTTGTAAACTTACGTGAATTATGTAAAATCCACTTGGATTATCTGTCTTTTAACTGGTAGGTTTAATCTGTTTAAAAATACAAGAAATGAGAACAAATTAAAGACAAAAAGGAAGATGGTACTAGTAACTCAAAACATATCAGTCAATACAATAAATGTAAACAGATTAAACCTGCCAGATAATCCAAGTTGATTTTATCTAGTTCATGTAGTTTACACTTGAACTAGATAAAATTATGAACTAGATTAAAAAAAAACACCTAGGTTAAAGAAAATTTGTCTCTTGTAGGTTTAATCTGTTTACATTTATTGTATTGACTGATGTATTTTGAGTTACTAGTACCATCTTCCTTTTTGTCTTTACTTTGTTCTAATTTCTGTGTGTTTTTGTTCTTCTCTCTTGCCTTAAAAAATAATTGCTTGACCTTTGTGCTCCTTCTGACTGGAAACCATCTGGCCCTAGGGCCTGATTGTTCCATCCTAGGACTCCTCCCCAACACCCCCACTCACCTCATTACTGTGGGGTACAGCTCTCCCATGTACATAAGGAGGCAGTTTATGGAGCCAATCAAACAGCCTTTTCCTATCACGGCCATCGTGATGCGGAGGAATATGTGATCTGGCAGGAAAAGAGGTGGTGATAACGTGCTGGGAAAGATTTGGAGGAGCCTGGAGATTTTCACACCTTCTGGGTAGCTGACTTGGGCCAGATTGAGAGCCAGGCTTGGGGAAGGACGAGGACGGGAGCTGGAATGGGGCGGTACTCACCCAGGGGTATCATGGCACAGGTCACAATGAAGACCCCCGACAACAGCATGGAGCCTGTTTGGGTATGTTTGCAGCCAAGTAATTTGGTGGCCAAAAAGCCCAGGAAATAAAATGGTGGGTCCACAATCGCGAATAACACCTGGGCCAGGTAGATGTTGACCTCAAAACTCTGCAGACTCATGACAAGGCCATAGAGGCTGAAAAGGATTACGAGCCTGGGGCAGGAGCAGAGGGGAATATACTTTGAGTAATAAGCATGCCGCATCTACATAGTAATTACGGTCAGCAAACTGCTCTCACTATCTGTTCTTTCCTTTAGGCCTTATATCAATCTTTCAGTGGGGTTTTTATATTTTGAATGCAGATAAAGTCTTCCTTTAATTCTAAAAAAAAAGAACGTTATCTGTCATACATTTAAAAATTACCTAGGAGAAAATAATGTTTTTAACCTCACAACAGGTCTTCTTCCTCTCCTTCCAGGTCCCTGCTCTGTGTGTGTGTGTGTGTGTGTGTGCTCACGCATGTGTGTCCTCACTCATATCCAACTCTTTGTGACCCCCATGGACCGCAGCACACCTGGCTCCCCTGTTCCTTCACCATCTTCCAGAGTTTGTTCAAATTCATGTCCGTTGAATCAGAGGTGCTATCTAACCACCTCATCCTCTGCCGCCCTCTACGTTTTCCTTCAGAACAATTACGGAAGTATGCAAATCAAGTGAGATCACGGTTATACTCTTGTCAACGGCAAATGATCCCCTTGCCAGGGACACGTTGCACAGTATTTAGGAAGACATAGTGGCAGACAGCGTCCAGGATGGCTCCCTGCTAGCAGACTCACTCTAGAGACGCTACTTGCTGGTGTGATGAAGTGGGCAGCCATGGTGGGAAAGTCCTTGTGGAAAACTGAGAGCAACCTCTAGACGCTGAGGTTAACTCCCAGCTGATAGCCAGCAAGAAGCCAGGACCCTCAGTCCTACAACTGCAAAGAAATGAGTTCAGGTAACAGCCGAAAAATTGATGCTTTCAAATTGTGGTGCTGGAGAAGACTCTTGAGAGTCTTTTGGACAGAAAGGAGAGCAAACCAGTCAATCCTAAAGAGAATCAACTCTGAATATTCATTGGAAGGCTGAAGCTGAAGCTCTGATACTCTGGCCACCTGACGCAAACGGCCAACTCATTGGAAAAGACCCTGATGCTGGGAAAGATTGAGGGAAGGAGAAGGAGGCGACAGAGGATGAGATGGTTGGATGGCATCACAGACTCAATGGACATGAATTTGAATGAACTCCAGGAGATAGTGAAGGACAGAGGAGCCTGGTGTGCTGCGGTCCATGGGGTCGCACAGAGTTGGACATGACTGGGCTACTGACAGCAAGCTGGGTGAACTTAAAAGTGGAGTCTTGTCGAGTTGAGCATCCAGATGACAATGTGAAGTCCTAAGCTGAGAACTCAGCTAAGCTCTGCCTGGATTCCTGACCCATGGAAACGGTGAGATTATAAGTGTGTGCTATTTCAAGCTGTTAAGTATGTAATTTGTTACATGGCAATAGAAGAATGCAGACTTCTTCAGGAGAACGTGAGAGGCTGTGATACAGAACTCTTAGGTCCAGAAGCTCAGGGCTTCTTGGGGTGGCTGCTTCTTTTTTCTCAAGGTCAGTGGTGCTGCTTGGCTGAGGTCCAGGCTCAGGAGATGAGGAGAGCTGGGCTTTCTCTCTCCCTTAGCAGGTGGGGAGCCCTCTGAGTCTCCAGGGTACCCGTGTCCTTGCCCACTGGCAGTGGGGCTCCCCCCCGCCTCCCACCTATCCAGGCTGTCCTGTTTCCTCAGTCTGCTTACCTTCCCATCAGCTTGTCTGTCTCTTACCTGAGCAGGGATGGACCTGCCACAGTGGGATGGTACAGAAGACGAGCTGATGCAGAGCAGGGGAGTGCAGCATCTGCAGCATCGATGGCTGGGCTTGGCCCTTCTGCAGACTCATCTGGAGCAGCTGTTTGGATAGATGGGGCTCAGGGCTTAACTTCCCCTGGGGACCCCTCCCTCCACCGCCTGCCTGGGAAGCACCAGATGACCTGGGTTCTAGGATGAGGGGGGAGGTGCAGGCGGAGCCCTGGTGGGGTATCACAGAGGGTCTTGGGTGGGGGTGTCTCACCTCCACACTCAGCTTGGCGCCCTCTTTTTGCTTCCTATTGATCTGGGCCACTCTCTGCAGGGCCTGAGGGTGAGGTCCAGGTTCCCCAAGGAGGAGTGCCAGAGGGCAGACTCTACGAAGAACCTGTGGGTGGGGCTTGGGGGTGGCGTGAATTTAGCCTGAGTTGACAGAGTTGTGGGTTTCTGAGAAAGGCACAGACCAGAGTGGGGAGAGAGCTGGGAGGGGTGAAAAGAATCCTGGGCTGAGGTTAGGAGCTCTGGGTTCTACTTTAAGGATTATCCCTGCCTACTTGGGATACCTGGGATAAGTCTTTCCCCTCTCTGGCCAAGGACTTCCCTATCTAGCAGTGTGGACATTGGTTCTTTTTGCTTTGCTCTGCTTTGATACTTAAGGAGGTAGGGAAGGGGTGTTCTGGGAGATGCTATACCATCTGTGACTTATTTTGAGCACTCTACCCTATACTGAGGTCCCACTCACCTGGAGTAGACGAAGGTGACAAAGAGGGGCAGAGACACCAACAGCTGCAGGTGGCGCCAGTGGGCCAGAGCATAAGCCTTGCCTGCCAGGGAGAGCTGGCCTAAGGTGGGAACAAGTCCTAATAGGAGGCCCAGACTTGGACGGGCATGGATGGGCAGCCACTCCAGATCTGGGGAGAAGAGCAGAGCTTAGACTGAAGTCAGGGTTGTGTGAGTATGTGTGTATTTTGGGGGTGGAGGAGGAGCTTCACACTGGAGTGGAAGGGGTCATCTCATGAGCTCAGTCCTACTCTGTACCCTCACTGGATAAGGCAAGGATGGTATGATATTTGGTTAGGTTCAGTATGTGTGTGTGTGTGGGTGTGTGTGTGTAGGGATGGTCTAGAAGGTTCTGAATTCCTATGCATGCTCCTAATCAGTGTCACCAACCCCAACATTCATATTTCCTTGCTTCTTCCGAACCTGTTCTGACCTGCCTAGAGCCACTCTCTCTGCACTTCCTTCAACTCATTTTAATTCAACAAGCATTTAGAGTTGAAGATCCTGTGCCATGCCCTTGGCTTGACCTGGGAAATAGAGATGAATGAGCCTTATGCTCAGGCCATTCTGCAGCACTTTCATTTCCTCCAAGGGGTCATACTCTGGCCTCAGGGACTTGTAAATTCTTTTCTTTTTGTCTAGAACTCTGCCCAAGAACTTTACTTCCTCTCTTTCTGCCTCACATTTTGTGCAGTTCTGAGCTTAGATGTTACCACTTCTGGGGTGATTTCCTGGCTCCCCAAGTCCTGGTTTAGCACCCCACTTCTGAACTCCCACATCATCAAGGATAGCCCCCATCTTCGCCTTTAGAAACCAATTTGTAACTGCTTGGCAGCTCACCCAGTCGACTATTAACTCTTTAAGGTCATGGGTAGTGTCCTCTTGTTCACTTGTTTATCCACAGTGCTGGATGTGACACAAATTAAATGCCTTTTGAAATTGTATTTAACGAACAAATGTTGAATAAAAGATTCCCTGTATGATTGACTGGCTTCTCTAAGCAACCCCACTCCAATCTCTGAGTCTTAGTTAATCCTTACAATGACCCCTAAATACCTATGAATTCCAGCCCCAAATGATCAGAGCCACCAAAGAGGCCATGATCTTAATTATTTTCTTCTTGGGGCACTACCTACTCCAGGAAAGACCCAGATAGGTCAGAATGGGCTGGGACAGGTACTCAGGGAAGGAGCTGAGGCTTGCATCTATCAGGTTCCCTGGTTCACTGTGCCCCTGTGATTGAGGAGTCCCCATAAGCTGACTCTCCTGGGTTCCCGCTCACTCAGAATCACAGACGGGCTGCTGGTACTCGACACAGCCATGCCTGAGAGGACTTGGCAAACACAGTAGGCTGAGAAGTTGAGGGCGAAGGCAGCGCAGGTCCGAGACCACTAACAGCAGGTAGCTCCAGGTCAGCACCTTCAGGCGGCCCAGGCTGTGAAAGGAGGGAAAACCTGGCAAGCTCATTGCTTGCTCCCCTGTCCCGTGTCCCTGGCTGTCTCACCCTTGATGCCCTGGGCAATCTGACAGGTGCTTGTGAGGATGCCTGCATGTGACCATGGGGTAGATGCTGAGATAGGAGGTGGGGAATAATTGGATGAAGGTTGGCATCTAGGGGACCTGTTGTTAGGAGGATCCTTGGATTGCTGCTGTCCAGGGTCCTGATGCATCTCTGCAAACCTCTGTGGAGGGAGTCACACACCTTTATCAGAATCACAGGGGTGTATTGAAAGCAATCCAGATACCAGAGCCCCACTTATGGCCTATTGCCTATCTGGAAGGTATGCTAGAAACCTGATTTTTAACACGCTTCCATGGTTTGGGAACTACTGCTTTGGGGTGTGGTTGATTCTTTGACTGTTGGTTGATGGAAACAACTAACATTCCTGTTAGGAGACAGCCTTTTGTGATATTTTTTTTAAATTGAGGTATTATTGACATACAGCAGTGAAATAGTTTCAGGTGTATAACATAATGATTCTATATTTGTATACATTGTGAAACGAGCACTACAATAAATCTACTTAAAATCTATCACCATATATACTTACAATAATTTTTTGTGTGTGTGATGAGAACTCTTAAGATCTCACTTTGTGACTTGCAAATATGCAATACAGTATTATTAAGTACAGTCATCATGCTGCACATTACATTCCCATGACTTACTTATTTATAGCTTTAACTTGGTAACTTCTGACCTTCTTCACTCATTTTGGCCATCCCCTCCCCCCTGTCTCTAGCAACTGCTAGTCTCTTCTCTGTATCCATGAGCTTGGTTTATGGGATTTTTATTTTTGGGAAACTTAGGCAAGGTTTATGCTTTTGCAAAATGGATTTGACTGTGGCTTATATTTTATGAATAACAAAGCTGATTTTGTGTCTTTGATTTGCTGTGACATAGTATTTTCAAACTTCATTTAAAAAATTTTTTTAAAAATTTATTTATTTTTTAATTGAAGGATAATTGCTTTATAGAATTTTGTGGGTTTCTGTCATACATCAATAAGAATCAGCCA